TAAGTTTAGCCCTGACCAGGTAGCTCAGTTGGTTAAAGCATTGTCCTGATACACCAAGGTTGCGGGTTCGATCTTTGGTCAGGGCATATACAAGATTCAACTAATGCATGTATAAGTAAGTGGAACAACAAATTGATGTTTCTCTCTTTTTCAAAAAAAATAAGTAAAATATTTTTTTAAAAGATCAACTTTAAAAAGAATAGAATCTTAATGCAGAAGTGCTAAATAAACTTCTTTGTGCAAGCTGGTCATGATATCAATCAGATTTGTGGAGAAATTGAGAAGCTGCATAATCTATACTAATAAAGGGTTATATGCTAATTAGACTGGGAGACCTTCCAGGAGACCTTCCGGACATTCTTCTGGACAAAGCCATGGTGGTGGGGCCGAGGTAGAGGTGGTTAGAGGCCAAGAGGGGAGGGCAGTTGTGGATGATCAGGCTGGTGGGAGATGGGGCCATTGGGGGTAAGCAGAGGAAGGTGGGGGTAAGCAGGCCAGCAGGGTTGAGCAGGCTGGCAGGGGAGGCAGTTGGGGTCAAGCACACTGGCACGGGGGGCAGTTGGGGGTGATCAGGCTGGTGGGGGGGCAGTTGGGGGCGAGCAGGCCGGCAGGCAGAGTGGTTAGGAGCAATCAGGCAGGCAGGCAGGCAGGTGAGCAGTTAGGAACCAGCAATCCCAGATTGCGAGAGGGATGTCCGACTGCCGGTTTAGGCTCGATCCCTGTAAACCGGCAGTAGGACATCCTTTGAGGGGTCCCAGATTGAAGAGAGTGCAGGCTGGGCTGAGGAACACCCCCTCCCCCGTGCATGAATTTCATGCACCGGGCCACTAGTTTCCTTATAACTCTTTAATGGTTCTCTATCAAGAAGGCTGTTATTATATATAATAGACTACAAGATTATCCTATATAATAAAAGGGTAATATGCAAATTGACCAAACAGCAGAACGACAGGTCACTATGATGCACATTGACCACCAGGGAGCAGATGCTCAATGCAGGAGCTGCCCCCTGTGGTCAGTGCACTCCCACAGGGGGAGTGCTGCTCAGCCAGAAGCCCTGAGCCAGGCTCATGGCTGGCGAGCGCAGCAGCGGTGGTGGGAGTCTCTCCCATCTTCGCAGCAGTGCTAAGGACATCCCTTGAGGGCTCCTGGACTGTGATAGGGCGCAGGCCAGGCTGAGGGACCCCCCGCCCCCGAATGCACGAATTTCGTGCACCAGGCCACTAGTAATTAAATAAGTATGCATAAGTAAAACACTATTACATACATAAATATAGAGACACAGAATCACAGAATGCTTGAGGTGTTTGTCAAAAGTTGTCTGTTATTTTGTCTTGTCAGCAAATCTTCAGGTTTAAATACAGTCTTAGAAGGCATGGTATTAAGTGGCTCATCATTCCACAGTGCATCTAGTTTTTAACACACTGGGAAAAAATAGCCGTTAGTTAGTTCTTTTATCTCTTTCTGTATATATTTTTTACATGTCTATATTTTTTACAGTATTAGAAATACAAACCAATCTCTTTTCCATTCCAAAATGTTTCAACCTTTGTCTAACTTATCCACTGGAGGGCAGTAGAGAACCATTCAGGCCATCCTTGATTTTGGACCTTCTAGGCTCTAATCTGACAAGTCAGACCTTAAAATTTAATACATATTTCCTGCTGATAAAATGCCACAACCAAAGTACCTTTTTAGGAAATCTATTTGATCCCCTAAAATCACAAATGTAATTTTTTGTGGTGGGACTTTTATACAGGAGCTGGACTGAGTGAGTCTTCCTAAAATGCCAGGCCACAAAAGTACAGTGGGTGTGAATATTATCCCACAAACTGATATGTAAAGACTAGAGGCTTGGTGCATGAAATTCATGCACGGGAGGTGGGGGGTCCCTCAGTCCGGCCTGTGCCCTCTTGCAGTCCGGGACCCCTTGGGGGATGTCTGCCTGCCTCCTTAGCACTTCTGTGGAGGTGGGAGAGGCTCTGCCACTGCCGCTGCGCTTGCCAGCCATGAGCCCGGCTTCTGGCTAAGCGGTGCTCTCCCTGTGGGAGCACACTGATCACCAGTGCACATCATAGCAATCGGTCGTTCTGCTGGTAGTTCTGCCGTTGGGTCAATTTGCATATTAGGGTTTTATTATATAGGATGTCATATTAGATTGTTAAAATTAATTATAATTTGAGCTCACAGCCAACCAAAATGATGGAAAAGTAAACCTCAGTCATTGTTAAGGCTCTCTGGCTCCTGTAACCCACTCTAAGGTTATTCATCAATCCCAGGGGTCATATACTGGAGGCACCAACAATCCTCAGGCTACACTGGTTACAGCTGAGATGCCCAGTGTCCTTTGAAAGTGAACAGGCCTCTGGGGCTGGGCTTTTTTTGTTACAGCTAGAAATCCCAGTGTCCAGGCCCCACCTCCCTAAGATCACCTGCCATCATTGACCAGGTTCTATCACCAACCTGGATGCTTTCAACAGTAGTCACAGTCCTTCACCTTGCAGAACCTCTCCTGCTTTTACTGACTTCTTCTCTGACCTACAAAGAGAATTCATTTGTCCCCTGCACACCTTTTCCCACCCAGATTCACAGCTCAACTTCTTCAGGGAGCTTGGGCTCCCACGAAAGGCTAGACCAGGGGTAGTCTTTAAGAGCTTCTGCTTAAAGCCCAGTAATACAAAGCACTTCTGAGATCAGCAACACGATGGACCGGCAATCATCAGCACAAGGTTGGGAAGGAAGGAAAAGTACAGCAAAAACAAAATACACTCTAGTGTTTTGACCAATTATCCTCTGCAGAAGCTGGAACTGAAGACAATTTTCCCCTAGTAATCGCCCTACAAAAACCACAGGCATTCTTTATGCCTCTAAACACCTTCAAAGTGCATTCAAAATTAGGGTTGTGAGTCCGTAAATCTTCCTTTGCTAATTTGTTGTACATGAATGCCTGCAGAAGCTTTTGAATGGTAAATGCTGTGGGAGGGGCAGTTTCCATGGTGACTGTTCAATGCACCCTTTTTCTTGCACTCCTGTTAGATCTTCATTGCTGATCTGCTGTGAATTAGAAGGTAACAGCTCAATCACATCTGGAGGGCAGGAAGAGATGTGAGAGAGGCAGCCTTTCTTTACACAGCCACATCCTGAACCCACTGAGTTGTACTATGCTTGCCTTGTGTCATTTCTTCATGGTTGCCCTGGCCCCTCTGTAGAAAAATGTATTTGCGACACATGACAAAGAGCCAATTTCCTTAGTATAGAAGGAGAGCTTATAAGTGACTATGAAAAATACCATAACACAATAGGAAAACAAAATAGGCAAAGGACATAAACAGACAGCTTACATACAGGAAAAGAAAATGGCTTACATTGTCTGAAAATAAACTTAATTTCATTCATAATAAAGGAAACACTTAAATTAGATTTCATTTTTCACCTACCAGGTTGAAAAAGATCTAAAAGTTTGATAATGTACAGTGTTCAGAGAAGGTGGAAAACCCATGATTTTATACAGTCTTAGTGGGAGGGTAAATCAGTTTAATCTTTTTGGAGAGTAGAATTAGCAGTTCCTCTTTTATAAATTCATCCTACAAGTGTAATTACATTTGACTTAAAAATACAAGTAGAGGAATATTTATTGAGGCATTCTTGAAGCAAATCATTGGTACAGGTCAGAGTTATTGATACTTCTAGACAGTTATTCACACAGGGCAATGAGAGGCAAAAATAAAATTGAGTTTTCCTCACATCCAGTGAATTGTATGCTCAACCTGTTTGCTAAATGAGTATTGTTAAAAATAATTCTAAAAAAAGAGAAAAAAGGCCCAACTGGTGTGGCTCAGTGGTTGAGTGTCAACCTATGAACCAGGAGGTCACAGTT